GGGGGAAGGACACGTGTCCTGAGGGATTCCTAGGCCCCGGAACCTCTGCTGCTCACAGGAGACAGGGCCACAGAGCAGGTGACCAAGTCTGTGCTCCAGAACCAGCCGGGGGTCCCCACGGGCACAGGGGCCTCAGAGGGAGCACCAGAGAGCTGCGGGCGCAGGAACCAGCGGCCGGCGCTGCACTGTGGTCCAGGAAGGGAGGGAGGGGCGGGAACCTGGAAACAAGAACGCTCATTGCTGCAGCACCCAGCGTGCGCACCTGAAGTTCTAAGCAGGAGCGACTCGGACACGCCTTCCAGGGTGACCGCTTGCAGCTGAGCAGGCGCGTATGCAGAGCTCCCCGCAGTGGCCACCGACGGACCTGCCTCAGGGCAGAGGAGGCAGCGAGACCCGAGTCAGAGGGAGCCCCCCGCACGCCCCCCACCCCCGGCTCCTGAGGGAGGAACTGGGTCTGTGCCATGACAGGAGGCTGCTAACAGCTCCTAGCTGCCAATGTGGTGACCACAGCTCAGGCTATAACCCTATGACCTCAGGAGGCGATCACCCCCCCACCCCCAGCCAGTGGAGAGCAAAGGGCACCCCCCCACGTATTCCCAGCAACTGGACGCGAGTGTCCTTCAGAAACTGTCCCCTGTGGACACAGCCAGATCCTCCTGGCTCTCAGAGGTCACATTGAATTCTGCTTTTACAATCACACCCACAGCCGCAGGGAGAAACACTCAGTATACCTGGTGCTGCTCTGCATGCGTGCACACACACGCACACCATGTGCACGCACACACGCACACACACGCACACCATGCGCACACGCGTTCACGTGGCGCACACACGCACACACGCACACCATGCGCGCACACACACCGTGCACACCGTGCATACACACACACCATGCGCACACACACGCACACCGTGCACACACCGTGCGCGCACACACACACACCGTGCGCACACACGCACACACCGTGCACACACACGCACACTGCGCACACACGTTCACGTGGCGCACACATGCACACGTACACAAGCGCGACACTGACACATGCACACACACACGTGCTGCAGGACAGGCCTGCACAGCCTTGGGGTCAGGAGGGGAAGGGGTGTGGGCTTGGCGAGGGCGAGGCACGAAGTTTCCGTGGCGGCACCTGACGCACGGACCACGACGGCAGAGAAACAGCTGTGAGATGACACAGGCAATGGGAAGGGCCAGCAGACCCGAGGCCTGGCCTCTGCTACGCTGGGACTGCCCGCTAGCCTGTCGTTTGAAGAGACAGACAGACAAGTGGGAGGATCAGGAGGAGGGTAGGAGCCATGCAAACAACCCTAAAATGTTCTCTTCAGAAGAACCCCAAGCCCCCTGAGCGGCTGAGAAGACCCCTTCCTGAGGCCCCACGTCGGAGACCCCACAGGTCCCTGGCCAGGACGAGGCGAGAAGCGGAGGAGGAACCCAGGGCTGCCAGTCTGTGAGCAGGAGCCCCGCGGGATGTCAGCGCCACCTGGTGGCCTGGCCTGGGACTGGGTTCTCTGCTGCCAATCAAAGAGCAGCAGGGTGGGAAGGCACCCAGCAGCCTGCAGGGCAGCGAGGAGCTGGGGCGCTGTCCCCAAACGCGGACGGTGGTCATGGCTGCACACCTCTGTGAGCTACGGAACATCACTGAGCTGTATTCTAAACGGGGGGATGACACAGTAGGCGGACGACACCTCCAATGAGGAAGCTGTTCAATAGGCCTGAGCGACCAAGTCCAGACAAAGAGGCATGGTGCTGGTTCTGTGGGCAAGGGCGCAAGAGGCAGCCCTGGCCGCAGCACGCACCTGCCTCCTGCCTCCTGCCTCCTGCCACGGGGCTGCCCCACCGGCCGCAGCGTGTGGGGGCTCCGCTCCTTTCCAGGCCGAGCAATAACCCCACGTGCGGATGCAGCACCTGCATCTGCCACATTCGTCCTTCCCGCATCCGTGGCCCCTGGGGGCTGCGTGGACCATGCTCACGTCCACGGCGCCCCAGGGTGTGAGAGGCGGTGGGGAGGCTCCCAGCCCACGGATGTCCCCTCCTGGGTGGGCCGTGGGAGCACGCAGCCTGGCCCCCAGAGGACCAGGGAAGAGGCCCTGATCCGTAAAACAAGCTGCCAGCTGCCTCCGGACACCCGGGCAAGGCCTGGAGCCGGGAAAGGAGAGCTGAGGGAACGGGGAGGGTCTGGGTGCCACCTCTCCGCCTGGGATCCGGCGCTCCTGCAGGGGAGCGAGGTCACGGCCTGCTCACCCCTCACTGCTCCCGGCGCTCACACGCACGCCTCCCGTCTGCGCAGTCTGGGCCCCAGTCTGGGCTCCGCAGGCCATGAGGCGGACACAGCACATCCTGCCTCCCTGCACCCCACCCACCCCACTCAGAGCAGTGGCCTGGGGCACAGAGGATCCAAGTGGGAAGTCAGGCCCAGGGAGCGGAGACGTGGAGGAGCGAGGACAAGCCACTCGCACGCCCCAGCGCCTGAGCGCTCTGCTCTGCACTCGAAGACTGAGAGTCTAGAGGCCACCTTTGTCTGGCTCACACGGGAGCAGGGCTCAGGCTCGGGCCTCAGGCCGGTGGGCGGGGCCGGCGAGGCTACACTGTCCTGCCAGCAGCAGCCGCAGCGCCAGGGGACACATCCTCCTCCTGTGGACAGGAGGGACCAAAGCCACACCAGGCCTCACAGCCGGACGCGGCCTCTGCAAATGGGGCTTCTTGCAAGTCGGGGGGGGGGGACACACACACACAGGGAGCCGGGCCAGAACCCCTGAGGCCTCTGCATGGGGCTTCTTGCAAGTCGGGGGGGGGGGGACACACACACACAGGGAGCCGGGCCAGAACCCCTGAATCCCCGAGTGCAGGGGTACTGCCTCCTGGGCCCCAGGCTCCTCCTCCAGGGGCGCAGGTGTCACTCACGCTGTGGACAAGGCCCCGCAGGGCGAGCGTCAGGAAGGGGCACCGCCACCGCCACCAACACGAGCAGATGGAAGCAGAGCCGGCACCCCTGGGCGGCGGCCACTCTCCTCTCACCCCACCCGCTCCACCCTCTCAAGGGCCCTGACAGCAGCCGTGTGCAACGACGGGAAGGGACAGGCCGCAGTCACAGCTCTAAGTGCAGGGCAGGGACTCAGAGCCACGACCCTGCCCGGCTCCGCAGCCTCCCTGCGGACCTCACCGAGCAGGGCCGCCTCGGGGCCTGGGACCCAGTGCCCTGTCCCTGCAGGTCCTGAGTCAGACCAGGGGCTGAGGGACCGCCAGCTGTTGGAGCAGCTCAGGGCCTGCCTCCCACACTGGCCTGAGTGCACTCTCGGGGCTGGACTCGAGGCTGGTGCACAGGACGGGGGTGGGGTGTGATTGATGTCCACGGAGCCCTAGAACAAGGCACCTCAGCTCCCAGAAGCTGGGAGGATCCAGGACAGAGGGGCTGACAGGGGCCCAGCTGCCCAGCCTCAGGCTTCCAGCCCAGGGGATGCGCCGTGCCCTCACCACTCCAAGCTGGCGAGCGCTCCAGCGTAGTTCTTCCCACATCCGCGGCCACAGGTGCCTGCAGGGACCCCAGATGGGCTGGCGCTGCTTAGAAAGTCCCCCAAGCTTGTACCCTCACAGGGCGAGCATCAGGAAGGGGCACCGCCAGTGGGGAGGTGTTCAAAGGGAACGGCTCCTCACGCTTCCCAAGGTGCTGGCAGGGACAAGCTGCGGGGGAAGCTCTTGCTCCCTCAGGACGGTGCCGGCTCCCTGCCATGCCCACCGGCCAACCTCGTCCTCAGTTACTCCCTCCAACTCTTACCTGCCTGGTGCCCGGCTCCTGCCAGGCATGGCGAGGACGTGCTGGCGACGGATGCCGGGAACCTACTTTCCCATGGTCTTGGCACGGCGCCCTCACCCTGCCCACGAGCAGGGGCTCAGCACCACCTGCGGGGCAGGAGGGAGAAGCGGCGACACCCACCGGGGAGGGAGAGGAGAGCCCGCTCTGGGTGCCTAGCACTGGCCCGAGCTGGTGCGGAGGCCGGCGCGTCCGGGCCGGGACTAGGCAGGTTGCGAGCACACCCTGTGTGTGGGGTGGGGTTTGGGTCCTATTTTCGTGCAGGCGGTGCCAGCGCTCGGGAGGGACTGTTTGCGGGGCCGGCGTGTGGAGCTGCAGGAGCCGCCGGGAGCCAGGCACACACACAGCCTCTGTCTGCACAGCGGCCCCTCCCAGTCCAACTGAACGTCTCTGGTCACATGGCCAGACCATACTCTGCTTAAAATACCGCGTGTGGTTTGAATTAAGACCGAATTCCTGTTTTCCTTACAGAACTGTAGGTTTCTGCGCCTGCCTGCTTTCCATGAGCACAGAGCAGTGCAGGATAGGGTGAGGCTGCGAGGAGAGACAGGCCTGGGAGACCCCTGGCAGGCCTGGCTCGGCCGGAGCAGGGCAAGAGCGGGCAGGCCCAGCCAGGTGCAGGGCAGTAGGGGCAGGAGGGGCAGGAGAGGGGCAGGAGCACAGGAGGGGCAGGAGGGGCACAGGAGGGGCAGGAGTGGAGCAGGAGGGGTAGGAGCACAGGAGGGGTAGGAGAGGGGCAGGAGAGGGGCAGGAGGGGCACAGGAGGGGCAGGAGCAGCTGGAGCAGCGCACAGGTGAGTGTGGTCCCTGGCAGCAGCACCCGCCCAGCCCTCCCCTGCGTCCCTCTCTCTGGGGCGCTGTGTTAAATGGCGGAGGCTGGAGCGAAGCTTTCCTCTGAGAAGGGCAGCTGCTTAGACTCCAGGCGGGCCCCAGAGAGAAGCAGGGTGTCTCCTAGTGTTTGGACGCAGGGGCACAGCAGCTGCGCGGGCCCTGCTGGTTGAGAGGGGCGACCAGCAGTCCAGCTGAGCCAGGACCCCGTCAGCCCTCCTGGGGCCTGGGGGCACGTCTGCATTGCGCTGTCCGGGGCTCGGACCTGGCCATGGAGACTGTGGGCCTGGTTTTCCACCCACAGGGGAGGACACGGAGCCCAAACCTGGAAGTAACTCAAACGTCCTTCAAACAGCAAATGGACAAACCAAGGCTGCACCCACAGCCCAACACCGCTCAGCAGTCGGGCTCGGGCCGCACCCCCGGCAAGTCTGCGTGACGCCGAGAGAAGAGCGCCAGACGCCCCACGCCACCTTCACTTCGGCAGGTCACGCCCGCTGCGGCAGTGTAAAGCTGGCTGCGGCAGTGTAAAGCTGGCGGGGTCCCTCGGCTTGGCCTGTGGAGATCGGGCCAAAACCGGCCAGGTGCATGAATGGGTGGGGTCCCTCAGCCTGGCCTGCGGGGATGGGGCTGAATCCAGGCACCGGGCCTTAGACATCCCCCAAGGGGTCCCGGACTGTGAGAGGGCACAGGCCAGGCCGAGGTGTACTGAGCCTCTAGTTTGTCATAAAAACCTGCATGCAAATATTTATAGTAGTTGTATTCATAATGGCCAAACGTCACTCAGCGGGTGAGCAGACACACCAGCACGCGACATCCACACGGTCCAAGGCTGCCCAGCAATGAGGCTCTGACACGCATCACGGCGAGTCTCCGTGCACGCCAAAGGCCACACGTGTGGACATTTTGGGGAAGTCAGACACAGGGATGGAAAGCAGTGTTGCGGGCCTGGGGTGGAGGATGGGACTGGACTGACCAGAGGACCAGAGGGGTGGCTCTGTGACTAGATGCCTGTGCAGGACACACCCACACCAGGAAGCTGTGCTGCGTGTAAATTTTTTGTCGTCGTTGTTACTCACCTGAGGATATTTTTTCATTGGTTTGAGAGAGTGGGAGAGGGAAAGACAGAGAGAAACATGGATGTGAAAGCAACACATCGATGGGTTGCCTCCTGCACGAGCTCTGACCAGGGCCCAGGATGGGGAGAAGCCTGCAACCCAGGTCCGTGCCCTTGACTGGAATCGAACTGAGGACCCTTTGGTCCGTAGGCCGACGCTCTATCCACTGAGCCAAACCATCTAGGGTTAGGCCTAGATGCTGTCATTTGCAACCAAGCGCCCCGCTGTCAGGGGGGTCCCCCGTCCCCGCGGTGTCTGATGAGCTCCCACAGAAAGGCTTTCATCAGCACCGGCTCCTGGGGAGAACTCAGCCAGCCTGCTGATGTCACCAAGGCCTCGCCTCCCGGGAGCCCCCCCGGCCGCTGCACTGGCTGGAGGGAAGCCGGTCAAGGCCAGAGAAGCCCAGGGTATAAAGGAGCCAGGAAGGGGGGTGTGGACTGGGGACTAGTCCTATTACCTTTCCAAGAAAAATCCAGAAGTGGTGGAGAGCAGAGAGGGGGTCCAGCACGGGAGACGAGGCTCCTGCCAAGCCCCCCTGAGCATCACCTCCGGCTCCTGGGGGTCCGGCCTGTTCCAACTGAGAGCTGGGCATGGGTGAGAGGCCGCAGCAGGACCGGGCATGCAGGAGGGCAGAGCCATGCCTGTCAGCGGCCGTGCCTGGCGCCCACCCTGGGCCAGGTGCCTGTGTGGCGCTGCTGTAAAGGGGGCTGCCATCCCAGTTTAGTGGCCCACGTTGGCCAGCAGGTGGGTCCTATCTGTGGACCCTGAGGCCATGGCCTGTCACTATGGGTGGGGGCAGGAGGAGACACGGTCCAGCTGGACCTCCCCCCGGCAGACCCCTCGCCTCTGGAGAAAGCGTAGAACAAGGCAAGAGGCAGCCCACAAGCCTGCCCATCGGGCTGAGGCCAGACCAGGACACGCACATCTCCATCCACTGGGGGGTGACCCTGCTGAACACGTCAGATGGCAGAGCTGACGGCCACAGGCGAGGGAGGGTGGAGGCGAAGACAGCGCCCAGGAAGCGCTGCACCGCGGCGGCTGCAGAGTCCGGACACAGGGACGGCCTAATGCTGTTTCCTGACCGACCGTCAATGTCCTCAGAAGTGCCTTCCGATTCACCCTAATTAAGGAGACATTGCAAACGGCTTCCTCTCGGCCTGGTCACTCGTCTTAATTTCCGCGTTGCTCCTGTCTGGGCCGCCGCTCACCACCTGAGCACAGGCAGATGGAGACCATCACCCGCAGCAGCGTGAGTCCCGCCCGGCGCGGCCTGGGGACGCAGGGTCAGTCCAGGGAGCAGGGTTCCGGCCTAACAGGCACAGCGGGTGCCCATGACGCCGTCGCCCTAAAGCCCAGTTCAGAGGGTGAGGTTTCAGTGGGATCAAGGGACTGTGATGCGGAAGCAGACTCGCAGAACCCAGGCCCTGTCTGACCCGGGAGGAGATGGGCATTGTACGAGGAAGGAGGGTGCGTGCCTGAAAGGAGCAAGGACTCCCACTGGCACCCCAAGCGGAGCGGGCGACTCGTGGCCACACACAGCTGGTGGCTGCGTCAGACACGAGGTCCGCACCCTGGTTCCTGGGGAGAGGGCGCCGCTGTCCTGCTCACGTGACACGCAGCTGTGACACGACCGTGCCTGGCCCAGGCCAAAGCTTCGAGGAACAAGACGAGCGAGGCAGTCCCCTGGGATGGCTGCTCTGGCTCCACATGCCACATCGCACAACACAGAGAGAAAAGCCCACAGCAACACCCAGCAGCCTGTGTGTGTGAGGACCAGGCTTTCCGACACAGTCCAGCCGCCGCACGGGGAGAGGCTGTACGCCCTCGCTACTCCCGACCCCAGGTCTGCAGCCTGGCCGCCCACCGGCCGCAGGGACCCGGGCGCCCCGAGTATTCCTGTAGAACAGTGATTCCCAAAGTGGGCGCTACCGCCCACACGGGGAGAGGCTGTACACCCTCGCTACTCCCGACCCCGGGTCTGCAGCCTGGCCGCCCACCGGCCGCAGGGATCTGGGCGCCGGGTATTCCTGTAGAACAGTGATTCCCAAAGTGGGCGCTGCAGCGATCCAGGGGGGCAGTGATGGCCACAGGTGCATTTGGGGGCGATGAGTAACTGCTATTAAAGTTTTAAAAAAATTAATTTCCAGGGGCTGAGTAACATTTTTTCTGGAAGGGGCGGTAGGCCAAGTAAGTCTGGGAACCACTGCTGTAGAATTAAGTTTCCCATCTCACTGTCTTCAGTTTCCTTTGGACAAACAGCAGAGCTACCTCCTAGCCTCGTCTGCTTCGTTACAGTGTAAGGAGCAGTGTGGGGGGAGGGTATGGAGGGGGGAGGGGGAGAGAACCCCCAGTCACCACCAGGCTCCATCACCCTGTGGTGCCTGCTGCAGCCGTGTGCTGAGATGGCCCCCCCCCATGTCCTGGGTCCGGCACCCCAGCCGCGTCTCCCGGCGGTGCAGGGCGTCATGGCCTCGCAGGGCGCCATCGCCAGGTGCATGCAGGTCTGCGTGGGTCTGTGAGCTTGGCAACTGGACTGTTCAACTTGACCACCTTCATCTGGGGCTGCGCCAGGCTGGGGGCCTGGACATGTTCCTCGTGGACCTCACGGTCACCAACGTGCTGGCACTCCTCTCGCTCACCGTCGCCACCTGGCCGACTACCTGGCCACCACCCACCTGGGCTGTGCCGCCCTCTCCTTCCTGTCCAACACCTGCTACTTCAATGCCCAGTACGTGCAGCTGGCGATGCTCTTTGTGTTCCTGCTGCAGGGCGCCCCATCCTGTCTATACCCGGCCACCCAGGCGACTCCGAGGCGTGTGGGGGGCCTGGCGGCCCTGGGGGGCTGTGCCCTCTGCAGCTCCCTGGCAGACTCCCTGGCAGTGGTGGCCCTGCTGGGCATGCCCGGGAGCTGCACAGGACCGTCCTGTGCCAGCTGGACCTGCTGACCGCCTGGCCCGAGTGTGAAATCCTGAACGTCGGCCTGGGCTTCGGGCTCGCGCTCATCCTGGAGCTGGCATGCCTCACCCTGCTGGTTGCCCAGCGGGCCTGGCGGGCTGCTCTGCCCCCGAGGGA